GTTCTTTATTTTCTGTCATGCAATTAAAAATCATGAAATGTCATACATTCTGGATTCATTACAAATCAACTGAAATATATCGCAAGCCTTTTATTGTTTTAATATCGCTGATTATGGCTTACAGCTTAAGAAACCCAAATATCCTATCTCAAAATATTAGAATATCGGATTTTTGAGTTTTCTTCAGCTGTACGCCATAATCAGCGATATTAAAACAATAAAAGGCTTGCAATATTTCAGTTGATTTGTAATGAATCCAGAATGTATGACATTTCATGATTTTTAATTGCATTACAGAAAATAAAGAACTTCATCACCATATTCTAATTTTCTGAGACAGTCCTGTAGATGGAGGAATTCAGTCTTAAATGTTTAGCAAATAGCCCAACCAGCACCAGCCTTTTATAACATCCTAATCCCCCTAATGAGCCGGAACCGCTGACCAATAGTCCCCATTACAGACGACTATCACACATTAAAGTGAGGGATCCTTTTGGATCCTTTCGGATGAACACAGTGAGTGCTATCAAGTTAAACGACTTTAACTTTACCTCTGGACAAACCGTTCTACCTGTCAGAGGGGGTCACTTCTGGAACAGCCTCCCAACAAACATCAGGGAACGTCCCACTTTTTACACATTTAAAAAGCACCTTAAACTGTTTCTCAAAAGTTCCCAGACATGCAATCACTAATTTCAATTTTGTAATGTCATTGTCTGAACGTGTGTTTGGACTGATTTTGTATTTTGTGATTTTGTGTTGTTTGGTCTTCCTGCCTCAGGACGACAGATGTAAACTAGCAACTATGCTAGAATCTGGCTCATTTACAATCTGTATGAGATTGTTCCTGATTGAATAAATAAATAAAGTGTAGAGTTTCCCACCTTTAATCTTGACGGTGGGGGAGTTGGGTCCTGCGGACTGTTTCCTCCATCCTCTCCAGTTCTGACAGAGGCTCTCGGCTTCAGAGATGAAGGAGCACAGAGAGTCTTCCTCAAACCTGTCCGAGTCTTCAAAGGAGAACCTCTCCCCATCCTCCCACTCGGCAAACATCAGTTCCATCACATCCACTTTCCTCCTGCTCTGGTCCACAGGACTGGGTCCAAGGGGGACTAGGGCCTGAAGAGAAAGCCCGTCCAAAAGCGTCCGGTTCTGGGGGAGAGTCAGAGGGAAGGCTGGGGGAGGGGAGGCCAAACCAAAACACAGCTGAGAGGCTTAGCAAAGGGCCTCAAACACGGCTACATGGCAGGAAATAGGAGCAGGCCGTGCTGAGTTGCCACTCACAAAAAGCTGAGCAACAAGTCCACGGCCTTTCGGGGTTCAAACACGGAGGATATGTGCTGTAAACCGGGTCAATGTCTCCGAGTGTCAACTCCTTTGCCCCAACCTCTGCGTTGGATTAGCTATGACTCCTCATGGCTAAAGGTTTTCACCGTCACTTTGTCCCCGGTTAATGTGCCCTGCGTCCCTGTTTTTTGACGTTTAGATAATCAGAAGCACAATCTCCCCCGCTGGTAGCTTCTCATAGCTAACAAGAGCACATACACACGGAACAAACACCGCAGAAAGCTGCTGTTCGGTCTGTTGTGTTCACAAATGTTAGCTTGGCCAGTCTTTAGCTTAGCTACGTTAGCACACCAAAGCTAACCAGACGGCTAACGGAGGCTCCAGTCTTTAGCTTAGCTACGTTAGCACATCGAAGCTAACCAACCGGATAACAGAGGCTTCAGTCCTTAGCTTAGCTACGTTAGCACACCGGAGCTAACCAGCCGGCTAACGGAGGCTAGCTTGGATAGCAGTTTGTTTACATGGACCGATCCGGACGTGCAGCCTTTACGAAGAAGGTTATTGTCGCCTGTCTCTTGTCATTTATTTTGGCTGCATCCGTCTCATATCCTGACGGTAATCCCCGGGGTTTTGCGTCCTTTGTTGGCGGTACTAAAGATCCCTTGTGTGTGGGGAAACAGCGGCTATATTCCTCTGGCAGATCGGCTCCGTCCACCGTCCTCCGTAGTCGTTTTAAAAATAAGTCAGGGCTGGCCCGTGCCTCCAAATGTCCACATAAACACGCAGATTCCCGTATCCTCTCGCTGAAGTTCTCAAAGGCTGCCGGGGGAAGATGGCTCACCCTCCTCCAGCTCCTCCTACCTCAGCTGGTCACTGCTTCCGGTTGTTTCTTGGAGAAATGGACTTGTCTAAAACAAGAAGAGAAGGAATTCTCTGACCATCAAAGGCCTTTGACCCACCTCTTCTCTGGCAAAATCACCTGAAATTTAACAAGAAATATACTGTAAATGTATCAAAG